TCCGGGCATTAGAGCTGCTGCTGGTGCTGCAGACCTGGGCGTTGGAGCTGCTGCTGGTGCTGCAGACCCGGGAGTTGGAGCTGCTCCTGGTGCTGCGGACCCGGACGTTGGAGCTGCCGCTGGTGATGCAGACCCAGGCGTTGGAGCTACTACTAGTGCTGTAGAGCCGGGCGTTGGAGGTGCTGGGGGTGCTGCTGGAGCTGCTGGAGGTTCTGGTGCTGTCTCTGCTGCTGCAGGGGGCACCTCACGGCCGCAGCCGTACTTTGTTCCACTCCTTCAGCAGGTTCTTGGTCAGTCACCTCCGCTTTGTCCCCCTCCCTCAGTAGAGTGTCCACCGCCGGTCCAGTCGCAGCTAAAGCCTGCCTCGCCACTTCCTCGTCCTTCTCCCTACACTGGTCCTACAGGTGGTCTCACAGAGCGTCGTCAGCCTGAGTCTCGCCCTGTGTTGCCTCTATCCCGTCCTGAGACGCCTGTTCGTACTACTTCCACCAGTCGCCGTACTCCGCGTGAGCGTCCGCCACCAGTCCGTGGCACACATCGGATGTCACTACGTCCCTCCACTGCTCCATAGCGTGTCCCTCTACCATCTCCTCCTCAGTCCTCTCTTCCTGCTCTTGCTGACCCTGAGTCTGACTCTCTTCGTGCTGCCAGTCCTACTGTCACGCGTCTCCTGGCCACTTCTGTTACTGACCCTTCGTTTGAGTCTGCTGCTGCCTCTGCCCTAATTGCTGAGCTTGTCAACTTTGCTGTCGCTGTCGTCTAGACTACGCTGCCAGTCTTGTCGCTAAGTCTGAGTCTGTCTGTCCTCCGTCTGTCGGGGGTGAGTGTGCTCTTAGCATGGACGTCCTTGAGGACAGACAGGAGGATCTTGAGTGTCTTCTAGCCGCTGCGCCCCATCTCGTGTCCATGCTAGTTGCTCTTGAGGGAGACCCGGATGCACCAGACATCCCCACTCCTCGATCGTACGCTGAGGCGATCGAGGGTCCCTACTCCTCACAGTAGCAGTCAGCCATGGACGCAGAGATGGCTTCCTGGAAGTCCACAGGCACCTACGTCGACGAGGTTCCCCCACCTGGGGCGAACATCGTCAGTGGCATGTGGATCTTCAGGGTGAAGCGGCCGCCGGGTTCTCCGCCGGTCTTGAAGGCTCGTTACGTTGCTCGAGGCTTCAGTCAGCGAGAGGGAGTAGACTTCCTCCAGACCTTCTCCCCCACCCCAAAGATGACCACTCTTCGGGTACTACTCCACGTTGCTGTTCAGCGCGACTACGAGCTTCACTCTCTTGACTTCAGCACAACTTTCTTGCAGGGCACTGTGCACGAGGAGATCTGGCTGCGCCGCCCTCCTGGCTTCACTGGGTCGTTTCCTCCTGGTACCTAGTGGAGCCTCCGGCGACCGGTCTACGGTCTCCGCCAGGCGCCACGTGAGTGGCACGACACACTGAGGACTACTCTTGCGGCACTTGAGTTCTCTCCTTCTACTGCTGACCCGTCGCTGTTTCTACGCACCGACACTTCGCTGCCGCCGTTCTACATCCGCGTGTACGTCGACAACTTGGTCTTTGCCACAGCTGACACTGAGTCTCTCGCGCACGTGAAGTCGGAGCTGCAGAAGAGACACACGTGCACAGACCTGGGTGAACTGCGCAGCTACCTTGGCTTGCAGATCACCCGGGACAGAGCACGCAGCACCATTACACTGACTCAGTCACACATGGTGCAGCAGGTCCTTCAGGGCTTCAGCTTCACCTGGTCCTCACCACAGGCCACTCCTCTGGCTATAGGTCATTCGCTCTCAGCTCTGCCTTCGGATGAGTCCGTAGAGTCGAGTGGTCCTTACCCAGAGCTAGTTGGTTGCCTCATGTACCTGATGACTTGCACTCGTCCTGACCTAGCATACCCTCTTGGCCTTCTGGCTTGCTACGTGGCTCCTGGTCGTCACCGAAAGGTGCACTGGGATGCTGCAAAGAGGGTATTGCGCTACTTGTGCAGTACATCAGGCATGGGGCTCGTGCTTGGAGGAGGGAGCTCAGTTGTTCTCACTGGGCACTCAGACGCTTCTTGGGCAGACGACCAAGCTACTCAGCGGTCGTCACAGAGTTACACCTTTAGCCTTGGCTCTGGTTCAGTTTCGTGGCGCTCTACTCGTTCGTCTTCGGTTCTCAGCTCCAGTTGTGAGGCTGAGATCTACGCCACAGCCATGGCTGCACAAGAGTTACGCTGGCTCACCTACTTGCTGACCGACCTTGGAGAGCGGCCTAGTTCTCCTCCAGTGCTGTACGTCGACAACAAGGCTGCCATTGCCTTGTGTCAGGAGCACAGAATGAAGCACATCGCTCTCCGTTACTTCCTTGTTTGTGAGCTTCAGCAGCGTGGTCAGCTTCGTCTGCGCTACGTGGCCTCTCAGGCCAACGCCGCTGATGTTTTCACCAAGGCACTTCAGCATGTTGATCATCAGCGCTTTTGTACTTTGTTGGAGCTAGTGCCGTCTTTGTCTCACTTGTTGTAGGCTTTGCCTGTACTGTGATCTCTATATATACTCCTGCTTGTTTGCTCTGTTAGGTTAAGATCACCCTTGCTGTCTGTACTACTTATATATACTTCTGGATGTGAACTGGCCTTGTGGCCCTTTGCTTGTGCTCGGAGTGTGTGGTGACGTTGTGATCCACCCTGAGCTTGTTTGCCTTTCTTGACTGGTCTTGTGACCCCTTGTTCTCCCCCACTTTGCCTATGGGAGTGTGTCAAACACTATATGTGTTATGATTGTGTAGGCTATAGTGGGTTAGCCTTTAGGGGGTACACAAAGTTAGGGTTTCCTACTTGTACTCCAACTTTCATAGTGCAATCACTTCTTCTTCGTAACAGCTGCGTAGGCAATTCATCGACGAGGAGCAGACCGGGCGCACCCCGAAGACGCCGGTGTTGGTCGACGCCTACACCGAGTTCACCTTCGACGACTAGGAGGCGCAGAAGCGATAGGAGGAGGAGTACCGGCAGAAGGTTGGCTCGCTGCAGTTCGTGGCGACGACGACACGGCCGTCGCCTTCGCCTGCAGCAAGCTGAGGAGCGGCCTCACGGTGAGGAGCGACCATCACTGGCGCGAGGTTGACCGCTGCCTCGCCTACCTCGCCAACACGCATGACACCGCCCTAGAGTTCGGCGGTGGACCTGAGTCGCTCGAGCTGGTCCACATGGACGCCGACGACGCCGGTGACAAGCAGAACACCACGAGCACGGGGGGCTATGTGTTCGTCTATGGAGGGGCCGTAGTCTCCTAGTCGAGCCAGCGCATCAAGTGCGCGACGCTGTTGTCGACCGAGTCGGAGTATGTGGCGGCCACGGAAGCCAGGAAAGAGGGACGCTGACTTCGCTTCCTCCTCGCAGAGTTCCGGCAGCTGGATGTCGGGAAGCCGACCATCCTTTGGGTGGACAACAAGTCGGCCATCAGAGTTGCCGAGGGCATGGGGTTGACGGGCAACCTCAAACACATGGAGCGGCGACAGGCCTGGCTGCAGCACATGGTGAAGCGCGAGAAGTTCTCGCTGAGGTACATCCCGACCACCGAGCAACCGGCCGACTTCCTGACGAAGGCGCTGCACTATCCGGCCTTCAACCAGTGCTCCGTCGCCATCGGCCAGGTGCGCTTGGCCGACGTGGGCGACAGCGACGACGACGTGCAGCAGTAGGTGCCATGCCCTCTTGCATGGCTGGTGCGGTGGACGACATGCTGTGTGTTGGGTGCACGTCGACGAGCATTTCTCCAAGGAGTATTGTTGTGTGGGCTGGGGGTCCAAGCGTGAACGCGGAAGGGGAGTGTGAACGGGAGTTGTGTGTTGGCCCCGTCCTCTTTTGGGCGGAGCTGACTTCGTGGTCGGTTGTGAGGGGAGCAGCCGGCCTGCAGCACTGGGCGAGCTGGTTAACGAGGTGGTCGACCTGCACAAGGACCACTGTACGGGCGTCGACTTCAGGGTGGTGACGACCTCAGGGAGGTCGACCTAGGAAGTCGACCTGCGGAGGGGGTCAACTTGGTGACGCGAACTTGGGGGCATCCGACTTGGGTGGTCGACTGACAGACCTGCTGGTCGACTAGGCGTGATGTCGACCTGGTGGTCGACCTGACCCGGTGGTTGACAGAAGAGGGGCCGACGTCAACCTCGACTTAGGACATTGAGCAGTTAGGCGTCGAGTAGCAGGGCGTCAACTTGGTGACGCCGACTTCGGGTAGCCGACCCTGGAGCTGATCAGCTGACAAATGCAGTGGTCGATATGGAGCTGGTCTACCGGGAGTGACGTCGACCTACAGCTGGTCGACCAGGGGTGTGGTCGACCTGGTGAGGTCGACTTGGAGGTGGTCATCGACTTGGCAGGTCGACGGGCACATACGGTAGCAGCTGGTCGACGTGGTTGCTCGGTCAACCAGGTTACCTGGGTGACGAGGTTCTGCGGAGGAGTGCAACGGTCACCCAAGCGAAGTTGGCGAGTCCGACCTCGGTGGTGGTATCCCGAGGTCGACATGGTGGATCAGGTGGAGTCATCAGCACAAGGATGACTTGGTGTGTACGTTGTGCAGGTGACGAGGCTCAGCTCGCCAATCATCTGCGAGCACATGTGAAGCGGGTGTGCTGCTGTTCTGCGGGAGCAAGACTGGCACGTCGTCAACCTGTGACGTTGGCACGCCGTCGATTTTGCACTGCTGGAGCGCGGTCGACCAAGTCGTGCTGGAACGCGGTCGACCATGCTGCGCTGGCAGTCGACCGACCTGAATGCTAGCTCTGATGTAGTCTTGCCATGCCAGCTTCATTGAACCATTGTTGTCAACTTTCTCTAGTGAAACTCTTGCCAATTCTCTCAGTGAACTAGCGAGCTGTGTGTGCACTAGGAAAACAACTAAGGACCAACGGACGTAGCGATCACATGAGCACCCGTGCCTAGCCCGTATTCTAGCTCCCGTTGTAGTAGTTATCTCCGCAACCAACCTTCCTGCATGTCTGACCAGCGAGGTCATATGTGCAAATGACGTACTGGCAGCGAACACTACCCCCAGACGCCCAACACAGGGCAAACCACTCACAAAGCTCCTTGGGCATAGGGGTCTCGTGCGGACGCTGCTACTACTGCCTCTGACCACCGCTAGAACCTCCCCTTTGGCTGGGTCCACCCCTGCCGCCACCACTGCCGCCGCCACCACTCCCACTGCCGCCACCAATGCCGCCGCCACCACTCCCACTACCGCCACCACCGCCGCCACCAACGCCTCCACTCCCACCACCACTCCCTTTGCCATCACCGCCACCTCCATCGCCTCTACCACCTCCACCGCTGCCATCCCTACCCCCTTGCCTCGCTTGCCCCTGCCGCTGCAGCGCCTCCCACTAGGAGAAGACACAGCCCCGACCTCCTCAGCATGAAGGAAGTCAACAACAGCAGTAGAAGCGTAGGAGGGGGCAAGGGGGGAGGGGGAACACCCCTCAAAGAAGGGAGTGCGAGGAGTGCCACGAGCAGCACCTACAGCAACTATGCTAGCCTCAGCTGTAAGGAGGTGCTTCTCAAGCAGGTCGACAGTGAGGTCCGTGGGCTCCATAGCGAGAAAGAGGTCCTTGACTGCGCTAAGAGAGTCAGAGAGGCAGGTGACGATGAAGTAGAGAGCGATGTACATGGGGAAATGGTTCTTGTCTAGAAAGTTGGTAAGAAGCGAGGCGGGGTAGCGAGTGTTACTAGTGCAAAGGTAGGTGAGAAGGTCGTCGACTGTGGCAAAGGCAGAAAGCTCGGGAAAGAGGTAGTGGCAGCAGTGGCAGGGGAGGAGTAACGAGCGACTACAGCATCATACAGGGCCTTAGCAGTCTTGTGCTGGCCAAAGTGGGCGCGTTCGGCTAACGGTAGGTGGTTGCGAACGGCTAGGCGAACAGCGTTACAGGTAAGCCTCGGCACCGGTTCTTGGGCTGACGACTAGACTACTCACCGGCTGGCACGGGTTCTGTCTCGTGGAGGTCCACTCGCTCTTCTTTTGTACTTAGTTCCAGCTATGAGGCCGAGATCTACGCTGGGGCTATGGCTGCATAGGAGCTTCGCTGGCTGACCTACCTGCTGACCGACTTGGGTGAGCGGCCTCGTTCTCCTCCAGTTCTGAATGTCGACAACAAGGCCATAATTGCCTTGTGTCAGGACCAGAGACTGGAGCACAGAACGAAGCACATTGCTCTCCGTTACTTCCTCATGCAAGATCTGCAGCAGCGTGGTCAGTTTCTTCTTGTTACGTGGCCACACATGCCAACACTGCTGATGTCTTCACCAAGGCCCTTGGGTCTAGTAATCATAAGCGTTTGTATACTGCTGTTGGGCTTGTACCCCCTCTGCCGCTCTTGCTTGTCTCTTCATCTTGCCTTGCACTTTCTGTACTTTGGTATATATATATATATATATATATAATACCTGCATGTCTGCACGCTAGGTTGTGATTAGTGTACTGCAAATGCTATTATTAACTCTGCATGCGAACTAGCCTTGTGGCCGCTTGCTTGTGCTTAGAATGTGTGGTTATCTTGAGATCCACCCTGAGCTTTGCTTTGTTTGTTTCTCTTGACTGGTCTTGTAACTATTGTTTGCTCTGGCTATCCCCCATTTCGCCTATGGGGGTGTGTCAAAACATACGTGTTCTATGTTATATAGGCTATATTGGGACTAGCCTTAGGGGGTACAACATTCACCTCATCATTCTTACTTGTACCTTCCTCCTCAACCTAATCGACACTCCTTGTTCTCACAAGACTTTAACACCTCAGCGGCAATGAATCAAGGCTGAACGCGCCACAGAGGTGCCAAGATCACACCCACAGGAAAACAGCTCAGCACAAACTAGCACCCTTTGCTTATGCAGCCAGCCATCACCTAACTGCCACCTACCAGTGGTTGCAGCAGCAGAGCCCTGGGAGACACCTCCAGCTGCTGTAGCTCCTCCAACTCTCTCAATTTCCCCTTCTTGACTGTTGGTGCAACCTACGGTTTGCACTCGGCTTGTTGTCAATGTGCGTGCATGCGTGTGTGCATGGAGTGGTATGAGGGCATGAGATAGTATAAATTTCATGCTTACAATAGTGTGTGAATGATGAATCGTGATGTTGAGTGTGTGTGTGTTAAGTCAATAGCAAGTCATTGCGAGTCGCGTGTCTACATCGTCATCTATGTGTCTCGCGCGGTTTCTATTTCGTCGTTTGTGTGTGCCACGCGGTTTCTATTTTGTCGTGTGTGGAGCGTTCGGCGTGTTGCAGGTGTGTGCAACAGACCCATCAAGAACGCAATGATGAGTTTATGATGAAGAACCAGAGCCTTGGTTTCAAGATTCAAGTGATTGTGAAGCCCGCGAAAAGGGTACACCTCAAGACATTGAAAATAGTTACATTACTTTGTGTAGTGTAATATCTCACTTGGTGTAGGCCCTAGTGAAGGGTAGTTTCGAGACCCTTCGTGGTTGTAGACAGTGTGGCACTGTTCTACATCAGTGTACCTCGGCTCTTTGGGTTTGTAGGAACTGGGAGTCATTCCCAACTCGTAACTCTTCCTATCTTGTGTTCTAAGACAATAGTGGCTGCCATAGTGCCGTTTGTTCAAACCAACGTTGTGTCGTCAAATCTTAATGAAGTCGTGCGATCTAAATTGCATATTGTAGGTGACATTAAGACACTCCAGATCCAAGTTGAATCAGGTCATTTGAAGCTGTGACCGGATCGCTATGGACAATCAAAACTGCTGTGCAGAAATCTGACTATGCACTCTATCTTTCGTTTTAGACACATTAGAGCCTACTGTGACTATAACAAGTGGTATTAGAGCGCCTTGGAGCAGCTACGACGATGGCTGGACCTGAAGAAAGGGGTGACAGAGGTGCTGGATGTTGATGTTAAGATGAGAGGAGCCATGGATGGCGAGAGAGTTAGGTAGGGTCGAAAAAAAGTTACACTAGGAAGACAATGTCGAGATACAAAAGAGAGAGGGTTGGAAACCCTGATTGAACCTAGGGTGTGTTCAGTGTATACTAAGAACTACGAATTGAACCTAAAATGAACCTGAATGCGTAACTCTCTCTAAGAATGGAGAAATAATATAAGAACACCAAAATAAAGACCAGAGCAAGCTCTAGCCTACTCCAACACACCCCCAGGCTAGGTGAAGCTCTGGAGCAGAACACCTAGCGAACGGGCACACCCCCAGAAGTGGTACAACGCGAGAGCCCAAGCTCGCGCACGTAGAAATGGTGTGGCGCACACAGGAGAGCCTTGGTGAAAATGTCAGCAAAGTTGGCAGCAATGTCCACCTTGCGAAGACGTAAGAAGCCAGACTGCACCAGCTCGCGCATGAAAAAATAGCGGACCTCAATATGCTTGCTGCGGGCGTGATAGATGGGATTTTCAGTGAGATGAATCATGCTCGCACTGTCACAGGATAGCGTCATAGAGGTCTGAGAGTGACCAAGCTCAGCAAGGAGAAATGAGAGCCAGCGAGCCTCCTGAGCTGCCAAGGTGCCTGCGTATAACTCAGCCTCGCAGGTGGAAAGGCAGACAGAGGATGAGCGAGTGGAGCGCCAGGTGATGAGACCACTCCCAAGAGTAAAACCATAGCCCTGAGAGGAGCGGCGATCAGGGCAAGAGTCAGCGTAGGAAGAGTCACTGTAGCCGGAGAGAATGGGAGGAACAGAGCCACCAAGAGTGAGAGCAAGGTCAGAGGTTGCGCGCAGATAGCGCAAGACGCGCTTAGCAGCCGCCCAGTGCACGTCAGTGTGGCAGCCTAGACCGACAAAGCGAGAGAGAACACTGAGGGGGTAAGCAAGGTCGGGGCGAGTGCACATCATAACATACATAAGAGACCCAACGAGCTTAGGATAAGGCCACAGCTCAGAAGAGGGAGCAGGGACGGCAGGGGCAGTGAGCCGATGGTTAGCGGGAACAGGGGTGGAGACCGGCTTGGCCTGCGACATCTCGAACCGCTGGAGGATGGACTGGATGTAGAAGGACTGGGAGAGAGAGAGATGGTGCGAGCAGCACGATTACGACGGATCTCCATGCCGAGGTAGTGACGAAGCTCGCCAAGATCCTTGCACAAGAGACGCGCCTGTAGGGCTTTCTTGACAGCAGCAAGATCGGCGGAGTCCTCAGCAAGCAGCACCAAATCGTCCATGTAGGCAAGAATGTAGAGTCTGTGGGGGGAAGTGCGAATGAAAAGACTCGGGTCGGAGGTGGAGGTAGAGAAGCCAAGAGAGTGAAGGGTAGAGGCGAGCTTGGCGTGCCACTTGCGCGGGGCCTGTTTAAGGCCATACACAGGTCGCTTTAATTCCCAAACATTGCCTGGAGGGAAAGGGCGAGGAAAGCCAACAGGACGCTCAAGGAATATACGCTCATGCAGCTCACCCTGAAGGAAAGCATTGGAAACGTCCATGGAATGGATCTCCCACTTCCAGCGAGCACCTAAGTCAAGAAGGAGGCGGAGAGTGGGGAGACGGGCTGTGGGGGAGTAAGTTGCAAAGTAGTCAATGCCTTCACGCTGAGTGAAGCCCTTGGCGCAGTAGCGGGCTTTGAAGACAGGAAGTTCGCTGGGCAGCTGCTTGACACGGAAGACCCATTTGCCCTTGACAATGGTGGCGCCAGGGGGGGGGGGGACAGAGTCAATGTACGAATTTGTTCTGGTAAATGCCTCACACTCAGCAGTGATCGCAGCCATCCACTCAATGGCATGAAAGCCCGACACGGCCTCGGAGTAGGACTGAGGGGTGGGAATGGCAGCGGTGTCAACAGAGAGAAGAGTGGGAGAATTTCTAAAGTCACCGACAGTGACACATAGGAGAGGAGAAACAGGATGAATGGTGAAAAGTTCCTGAAAGCGATCTTCAAGAAGATTCACATCCTGGGATGGAGATAGACGAGTGAAAAGGGCAGAGTGCTGAAAATTAGAAAGGGCGCGTGTCATGGAGCGAGTAAGGCGCGGGAAAGGGGGAGGGATGGGAGCGGGCGAAGGGGGTTGAGAGGAAGATGGAGGTGAGGAAGGGAGGGGAGCCGAAGAAGAAGAGGCGGGTGGGGAGGCGCCAAAGATGATGTCGGAAGGGGGGGCAGTAGAGGCTGGTGCGGGGGGAGGGGCAGGCAGAGGCGGGATGGGAGGGGGGGGAGGAGGGGAGGGGAGGACAGACGACGGTTGATCGAAATCAGACTAGTGAAGAGAAGGGACAGGAGGGGCAGGTGGGGGAGAATGGAATGGAGAGTGGGTCTCATCGAAAATGACGTCCTGGCTGCGGATGAGCTGGTGAGAGGAGGGGGCGTAGAAAAGATAACCAGGACAATCAGAGTTGATGCCAAGAAATGCACAGAGTTGCGTCTTGGGAGCGAGTTTCCCACCCTGACGAGATCGGTCTGCTGGATTTACAAGAACATGGGCGACACACCCCCATACCCGAAGAGGGCGGACAGAGGGCTGTCGGCCAGTCCAGAGCTAGAACGGGGTGGTAGTGGGGCGAAGAGGATGAGGACGGAGGTTAGAGAGTAAAGTGGCATGGAGAAGAGCACAGCTCCAAAGAGAGTGGGGAGCAGTGGCATAAGTGAGAAGGCAGCGAGTGATTTCCATGAGAGTGCGATTGCGACGTTCAGCAACCCCATTTTGCTCTGGGGAGTGAGGAAGAGTGGAGGTCTGGCAAATGCCATGAGAGGCACAGTAAGAGGAGAGGGAGTGATTAAAGAATTCGCCACCACCATCGGAATGGAAGCGCGCGACAGGATGCTTAAAATCTAGACGGGCCTGCTCAGCCCAGCGAATGATCAGGGAGGGAGCGTCAGATTTGGCATGGAGGGGATAGATAGTTGCAAAGCATGAGTGGTCATTAACCAAAAGCAGAAAATAGCGATGACCCTGACGAGAAACAGTAGGCGAGGAACCCCAAAGGTCCATATGAACAAGGTCAAGGGGTTGGGGGGAGGCAGAGGGAGAAGACGGATGAGGTGACTGGGAGAGTTTGGCCTGGACACATGGGGTGCATGGAGGAGCAGGAGAGGGAGGAAGGGGGGGGAGAGAGGGAGGGAGGCCATGAAGGAGCTCAGAAGAGACCATACTGCGAAGAAGGGGAAAGTTGGGGTGGCCAAGGCGATGATGAAGGAGAAGGGTAGGTTGAGTAAGAGAGCGACAGTCGCAGGAGGGAACGAAAGGGGCGGAAGCGAAAGAGGCATGATGGGCAGAGGGGGGAAGAGAGACACGAAGAGTGTAGAGGCGAGTGATAGGAGAAAGAGTGAAGCGTGCAAGATGGCGGTTGCGGTGATAGAGATCACAGTAGGAGTCACATTCAGGAAAGATAGCTTGCACACAAAGACGTTGAAGAGCAGAGAGAGAGAGAGAGAAGGTTGTGGCGGCATGAAGTAACATAGAGGCCAGTCACAGCACCAGAGGGGGAGGCAAGACAGGGAAGAGAAGAAATAGCGGTGCAAGTCATGGTCATGGTATCCCCAGCCCCTTGAATGGAGAGGGGACAGGGAAAAGAGCGAATCACACCAGCATCACAAAAGACAGAGTCAGTAGCACCACTGTCAAGAACAAACTCAAGAGTGCGAGGGAGGGAAAGAGCAGCAGCTGTGGGACGAAGATACTGAGAATCATTGCCATTAACAGAAGGAGCGAACATCATGGCAAAACGAGGGTCCATGAGGGGAGGAGCCCCCAGAATGCTATCTTGACTAGGCATAGTCACACTGAGAGCAGAGGTCTGAGCACCTACACCAGAGTCGGCAGCCGCAAGGACCGCCTGAGCAGAAGACTGGCGACGCTGACGAGAGAGTTGGAGCCAGTTGGGAGGGCGACCAGTGTTGTCAGCTAGGAACCAGTCATCGGTGAGCTTCTGGAAGCAGGAGGAGGTGGGATGATTGGTGCGACCGCAAGGTTGACCCTTGCGGGGCACCTGGCGAATGATGTAGGTGCAAGGAGGAAAGGTGTTGCGAGGGCGAGAAGAAGCAGCGGCGGCAGTGGTGGTGGAGAGAGGAGGAGGGGCAGAAGAGGGTGTGACAGCAGCGGCAGTAGGAGGGCAGCTGCGGAGGTTGAGCTCTGCCTGGAGGAGGAAGGCAGAGACACGGGAGAACGACCACTGGTCGTCGGGGCGCTCACCATACAAGGTGACATGAACACTGTATTCAGGAGTGAGGCCTGTGAGGAGGAGGGCACCGCACACTTGATCAGAAAGTTCAAACTGTTGAGCGGCAAGTTGGGAGGACAGCGTCTGCACTTGAGCGATGTAGTCTGCCATGGTGGTGAAGTCAGCAAGACGAAGAGAGGTGAGCTCGCGTAAGAGGGCAATGACGCTGATGGGAGTTTGTGACTGAAAGCGCTCGGTGAGATAGCCGAGAAGGTCCTTGGCATAGCGGATGTGCGAGTACTGAGGGAGAAGAGTTGGAGGGAGGCAGGCAAGGATGACCTAACAAGCACGTGCGTTGGCAACATGCCAGTCAGCGAGAAGTTCAGAGTGAGATGGAGCACAGGAAAGGGGCGTAGAGGTAGAGCGAGGAGAAGGGGCAGCGAGGTGCCCAGTGAGGCGCTTGCAGGTGCTCTCAAGGGACTCAACAAGAATACGAGCTAAGTGATATGCACCAGCATTGTCAGGAGCAGCCATGGCAGTGGCTTGCGCCGTGGCCACAAGCCGCACAGTTTCAGCAATGGCAGCACGGAGGCCATCAGCATAGAGGTAAGAGGAGGAAGAGGTGGGTGCAGAGGGAGAGGTAGGAATGGCGCTAGAACCACTCTGCTGAGTGACAAACCAAAGGTTCAAGCCACTCACGAGGGTGCCAGACAGCGTGCGCTCAAGACAGTTCAGCCAACTGGGGAAGTTGACTGCACTGCCATCGGGCGCAAGTTGAAGGACAAGCAGAGGGAGGGAGGGGAGGGCGAGAGAGGTCGCCATGGGGAGGAGGAAACAGCTGTAGAGCAGATGTGGGGAGAGATTTAAGAGGCGGAGGAATAAGGGCGGGGTAGTCTGCTGCTGAGCCGCTGAGGGGAGAAACAAGAGGAGGAGGGAAAGTGGCGAAGTAGTCTGCTGCTGAGCCGATGCGGGGAGAAACCAGAGGGTGAGGGAAAATGGCGAAGTAGTCTGCTGCTGAGCCGATGAGGGGAGAAACAAGAGGAGGAGGGAAAATGGCGAAGTAGTCTGCTGCTGAGCCGATGCGGGGAGAAACCAGAGGAGGGAAAATGGCGAAGTAGTCTGCTGCTGAGCCGATGAGGGGAGAAACCAGAGGAGGAGGGATAGCGGCGAAGAAGGCTGCTGCTGCGCCGCTGAATGGAGAAACAAGAGGAGGGAGAATTGTGAAGAGTTTGCAGTTGAGAAGTTGAGAGGAAGATGTTGAGGAGGAGCGAAGGTGTGGAGGAACAACACCTACACAACACAATCAGCTACCAGCTGCAGCAGATGAAGAGAGGAAAGAGGTGGAGGAGGGGTGAGATAGTGGAGAGGGAACCAGTGGGAGAGAGGAGAGGAGGAGGAGGGTGAAGGGGCGGATTGAGGAAGGGCAGGATGCGCCACAAGGAAGGGCAGGCGCGCGCGCTGCTGGACGGTGCTTAGCGCGCGCGGCTGCGGGAGCGCAATGCGCGCACGACGGGACGGGGAAAGGGGGGGGATGGCAGAGCGCGCTTTGGGCGAAAATGGGCGCGCGACCGTCAGAAAAGGGAGGAGAAGGAGGCGCGACGAATGGGAAGGCGCGGGAGAGTGATAAGGGCGGTATGGCGACGCGCTACGGACTGAATTGAGGGATCCGCAAGAGTTTAATGTGACAAAAAATGCGATTTTTAAAAGTGACGGGAAAGAAAGGAGATAATAAAAAACCGTCTAGCTAAGTAGCGCGTAAATGGCCTAGGGGCCGGAGATTATCTAAGAAATATGGATAAGTATGAAACACCTAGGACTACGCTCTGAATACCATGTTAAGATGAGAGGAGCCATGGATGGCGAGAGAGTTAGGTAGGGTCGAAAAAAAGTTACACTACGAAGAAAATGTCGAGATACAAAAGAGAGAGGGTTGGAAACCCTAATTGAACCTAGGGTGTGTTCAGTGTATACCAAGAACTACGAATTGAACCTGAATGCGTAACTCTCTCTAAGAATGGAGAAATAATATAAGAACACCAAAATAAAGACCAGAGTGAGCTCTAGCCTACTCCAACAGTTGAAGACTAAGGAGGAGTCTAGAACGTTTAGGGGCCGAAATATCTCAAAATCGTTGGTTCATAATTCTGGACAGAAATGTCGACTTCACAAGAAACGTCATTGACGAAACATTTACGGTTTCAACTTCACCAAACCCCAATATGGTGTAGCCCTATACCGTGGGTACAATTCCCCATTTGAATCGCACGGAAAGGTGAAGTATTTCTTCAGTTATGAATTTCGGCGCACTAGGGGGTGAGCTGCCATAGAAACTTAACTCAATCAGAATTATCTCACAAGTTCACACAAGAAAGTTGGAGTGGCTAGAAACCAGGTAGAAGGTAAGAGGAGGACGAGAGGGAAGGTCCTCAAGGAGTCCCCAACCAAGGAAACTCCATAAGCACATCAAATCCCCTCCCTATAGCAACCCAACTTTTACTTTTGTCACTTTTCCAACCTCCATAATCCACCTCACCCAAGTTGGCCACACTTGCCAACCCAATTTGGTTTCTCCCAACCACTTGGCAGCATCTATAGTGATGGGGACGAATTTCCCAACCCCCAAAAGTCTGTACCCCATATTGAGTCACTTCACAACTTCCCAAAGTCGTCGCATCCCAATCAAAACTTCGAACCATTAAAACTTCATCGTTCCTACTCTGATCGTAACGATTCTTGGCTCGTCGGAAAGCTCTTGAGCAGAGGAGTCACTTCAAATATCTGCTCAAGACAAAATAACATTCACACATACTCAGGAAATCCAAACCACACCGAACACAAATTCTTGCACACACTCACACCACGCATGCAACACACGAACATGTGATGGGAGGCCGACAGACGTGAGTGGAAATGATAGCATCACATAACACTGGAGGCAGTGGAGGATCCCAAGCACAAGGTCAACCCTGTGATTCAGCCATGGCGCCCGTAGAACCTACTCTTGGACCTTCTAGGGATGAACCAGTTCGGGCTTAACTAGTTCAACGACGATACTTTTGCTGAATGGTCATTTAGAATGGATAACGTGTTTGACCACTATGACTTGCTGGAGGTGATGGAAGGAATGGAGAAGCGTCCCGAGAACGACCCGGAGAAGAGCCCGTGGGTGCGGAAGAGTGCACAAGGCTACCTCCTACTTGGGCAAGCGTTGGGGAACGGCCAAATCCGTCACATCAAGCCATTCCAGCGTGAACCAGAGAAGGGATCCAAGGCATGGGTTGCTTTCAAGGATGTATACGCTCCTGCAACAGCGGTGGTAGCGGTGGTGTTGGAATGGCAAATGGCAACACTACGAATTGGAGAAGATGAACCCGTGGAAGAAGGGGTGCAGAAATTCTTTGACGTGTTGACGCGGCTTGAGGGAGCTGATTTGAACTACAGTGAGCTCCAAAAGAAGACCAAGTTGCTGGCCCTACTCCTCGAGTCATGGTCCTTGCTCATCATCAACTTGAATTGCGACTTGCCCCATCTCTCGCTTGAAGACGTGAAGCGCACAATCCTTCAAGAGGATTTCCGCCGCCGTGAGTTGGCGGGTGCGGATGGCGCCGGGGCAGCAAGCTTCAACCGGGGGTACGGCCGTGGAAGGGGAAGAGGACAAAAGGGAGGCAGATTTGGCAGCAACAACGTTTATGGAGGCCACGGGAATGGTGGCTATGGCAGCAACAACAAGAGCTACAGACGCGGTCGCGGCTGATTCGACGGCGAGTGCCATTTTTGCCGCAAGAGCGGACATATGTAGCGCGATTGCTACAAACTCCCAAATGGATGGACCCCTGCTCTAGAGCAAGAGGGTAGGGGAGCAAGAGGAGGGAGAGGAAGAGGCCGTGGAGGCCGTAACGGTCGTGGAGGTGGTGCTGCAAACATGAAGAGCGAAGGCAATGAGAGCGAGTCGAGGGACGATCGCTTACCGGGCCAATTCTTCTACATCTCAACGCAAGCAGCGGCTGATCCAGAGAAGGATAAAGGCTTTGAGGAGCCAGCAGCTGTGGGGAAGGTGACCCTACACTCCCTGGACTATTGGGTGATCGATAATGGCACTACCTATAGCATGACACCTCGTGCGGACTTGCTCACCGAACTTGAACCGTCACCGCTGAAGCATGTCACATCGGCTTTGGGGCAGCGAGAAGAGGTGAAAGACACGGGCAAAGGCATGTTCAAGGGTGCTGATGGGAAGATGGTGGGCCTCAAGAACGTGCTTTGGGTGCCCAACCTTGCTGCGAACCTGATTTTCGTGCGGCGGTTGCGATAGGCTGGCATGGACAACAGCTCGAAGGGAGCCAAGACCTACACCGCAATGATTGGCGAGCGGATTCTTTGGGACCTTCATGAGAACAGAGATGTCTACAACGAGATGTGGTGGATCCCTATGGTCTCCATGCCTAAGGAGAAGCAAGTGGCAGCAAGCGTCAGCACCAAGGGGGAAGCGGTTGGTAGCGGCGGTGGCGCGAACGGTTGCGTTAAGGAGATTGAGTCAAAGAAGTGCAATCTTGGAGGGACCAGCAAGCTCGGTGAACACGAGGAGAGTGGTGCAGCAGCCAAGAAGCAGCACAAGGGTGAGGAGAACCCCAATGCAGCAGTGGAGGAGGACTATGGAGAGAGCATGTGGGGCGCTATTGCGAGCGTGGCATTCTCCAATCCGACTTCGGCTACGGGGGAGTGTGATTGGCTCACCTTGCATCGGCGCATGGGGCATGTGGCCCTGCCCATCTTGCAGCAGCTAGTAAAGGGAAAGATGGTTGCCGGCATACGTGTGAAGGGGGAGCCCAATGAGGTACTTGGCTGCCCGACGTGCATGCAAGCCAAGTTCACCCATTTCCCGTTCTCGAGTTCGGAGGAAACGGCTAAGGCACCACTTGATGAGGTGGTGATGGACGAGGTGGGCCCCTTGAAGCTTGGAGCTGCTGAAGCTGAGTATTTCCTCACCATTGTCGACGTCTACACCCGAATGACTTGGGTGTACGTGCTGTCCAACAAGAGCGACGTGGCTGAAACGGTGAAGGCCAATTGGTTGCCGATGGTGGAGCGACAACAAGACCGGCTAGTCAAGTCAATCCGCACCGATCGAGGGGGAGAGTTCCTGAGCAAGGAGTTCAGATTGTGGCTGAAGAAGAATGGCATAAAGCACTCCCTCACCATGCCATACTCCCCTGCAATGAACTGTATCACCAAGCGAGCGATCCGCACAATCATGGAGACGGCACGCGGGTTGCTCATTGAAGCCGGGCTCCCGGAGTACTTTTGGCCTGCGGTGTGGAGTGCATGTGTGGCCAAGAACAGAGCCTTCACTCATGTGGAAGCAGACAAATGGGTGACCTAAGTGGAGTGGATTGGAAGAAAGCCGAAGGTGGATATGTGTCAGAACATTATAGCTTATACATTTGTGTAGGCTGTAGTGGGGTAGCCCATCAGGGGTACAACCCAATTAGGGTTAGTACTTGTACCCATCTCTTTCATAGTTCAATCATTCTCGTTTCTCGTCATGGTATCGAGCAGGTTCCCGAGTGGGAATGCTGCCTAGGGCCCACCACGATTTTTTTTCCCCTGCCCGGAGCGCGCTTCACTCCTACCCGAGTAGCGTTTCGTGTGCCTTACCTACCCTCGAGCCGCCCTTAGTGGCCCACCTTTGGCCGCCCTTAGTGGCCCCCCTTTGGCCGCCCTTACGGCCCCTCGCGCCGCCTTCTAGGGCTCCTCGTGCCGCCCTTACGGCCCCTTACGGCCCCCTACGGCCCCTCGCGTCGCCCTTTAAGGCCCCTCGTGCCGCCCTTACGGCCCCTTACGGCCCCGCCTAGGCCCCTTACGGCCCCTCCGCGGCCCCGTCTAAGCCCCTTGCGGCCCCGTCTAGACCCCTCCGCGGCCCCGTCTGGCACCTTACGGCCCCGCCTAGGCCCCTTACGGCCCCTCCGCGGCCCCGTCTAGGCACCTTGCGGCCCTGTCTACGCCCCTCCGCGGCCCCGTCAGGCCCCTTGCGGCCCCGTTTTGGCCCATCTGCGGCCCCGCTTAGGCCCCTCTGCGGCCCCGTTGGCCCCTTTACGGCCCCGTTCAGGCCCCTCCGCGGCCCCGTCTAGGCCCCTCCGTGGCCCCGTCTGGCCCCTCTTTCGGCCCCGACCAGGCCCCTTTCGGCCCCGCTTAGGCCCCTTTCGGCCCCTCTGCGGCCTCGCCACCACCTGCGGCCCCGCCGCCACCTGCGGCCCCACCGCCACCTGCGGCCCCGTCGCCCTACCCTAGCGGCCCCATCACCACTCCGCCGCCCACCGACCGAGCCGCCGAGCAGCACAGCAGCAGAGCCGCCCGCCTACCGAGCAGCCGAGCCGCCCCGCACACGAGCCGCCGAGCAGCCGATCTGCCCAGCAGCCAAGCCGCCCTGCCGCCGAGCCACCCAGCAGCCGAGCCGCCCTGCAGCCGAGCCGCCCTGCCGCCTAGCTGCCGAGCCGCCAAGCCGCCCTACTGTCTAGCAGCTGCTGTTCCTACCAGTGCTCCCCGGCCTCTCCTTCCTCGGACAGATAAGCTCACTTCCTCCTAGGCCACTGCAGTCATGGCTACCCCCAGTGTCCTCACTTTTGATGCTGAGGGCCGTGCCGTTGAGTTTGAGGTCTGGGTCGATGACCTCCAGCTGTTTCTTCAGTGCGATAGGGCGGACGGCGTCTCCCTGTTTGACCTCACTTCTGGTGCCTCTCCTACCCCTACTGCTGATGCTGATGCCACTGGTCGCTCACAGTGGGCCACGCGCGATGCTGCTGCTCGCCTTGCTGTGCGCCGCCACTTACCCACCACTGAGCGTGAACACTTTAGCC